GTAGCAATATAACATCCACCACCGTTATGAATACTATGAGCTAATAAAATTGGATTTGCCCAATTAAACAAAGAATATTATCTCATACACGCTGTACACAAGACTTACTTTAATGTCTTAAAGCTGGTCGTTTAAATAAGGACAAAAATGCATTTAACAAGAAACAAATCATTGGATTATAGCAGATCAATAACATTTCACCAAGGTGAAAAGATCTGAACGGTGCCATTGAATGTTTCTGGGAACCATTGCTTGAGAAGGACTCCTGCTGAAGACAGCTGTAGAATGATCCTGCAACAATAAATACACCACCAGATGCTAAAGACATGGTGTCGATTGTTACAGAAAATAACATTTTTTAACGTCAAAGACCACTGTATTAAACGCACTCAAACGAAAGCATACATTTTTATGTAAGAAGTGAGACCTTTACAAGCTTTTTTCCACTTCGTTACTACTCATTTTTCTTTCCATTTGCAACATAATTTGCACATTTGCTTAAAATCAGTTGTCACCACACATGCTGTCAGGAATTTTTAAACAAAGCAAACGGGCATGCAGAAGCCCCAGAGCCATCACTCTGGGTCATACTGTTGGTGTTTTTTGACAAATATGGCATCTGATACACAGTGGATCCAGAGTAATGGGTAATAGTTTAAGTTCCTATGTGAAGGGGACATCATTTTATTGTCCACACCTGAAGAAGGCTCCATGGCCGAAATGTAATGTTTTCTTTCTTCTTTTTTTCAGCATGGAATAAACCTATTACTTGTTTCTTTGCAACATTTTATTGTATTGTTTCAACCGAGCAGGAAGAACAGGGAAAGTCAGATAATTCTGAATCAGCATGATCTTTAAACCAATTATTTGCTAGTCGGGTCACATCACTCTGATGAATTTCACAGCAGCCTTCCTGCTAATAGGGTACAACAACGCACAAGTGACAACTTCCAAAAGCTATACTGGTGACGAGCTTGTCATAAATACCATAAGATAAATTGTAGTGAATTTTTTATGGAAACATTAGGAGGGACATTCTTTCCCTCCTAAGAATGTCACTCTCACCACTTTCCTTTGGGGATGTGGTGAAATGAAGGCAACGCATCACCATCATTTCGTTTAGATGAGCTATGGAGAAAACAGCCTGGACTTGTTTATGGGGTGGCTCTGTTACATTGCTTATTTGTGTGTGTAATGGAGGGTTTGGGAGCTACGAAGGAGGGGGACATGATGCTGGCAGAAAATGTGGCACTGAAAATCTTTCCATTCTAAAACCTCAGAGAAACCTTGTGTTTTTTTCCTCTATTCAAGGCCAGGAACAACAAAAGCAACAAGAGCAAGCTTTAATTATTTGATGTTTTGAATAATGCAAAAAAGGTAACAAAAGCCTCCTGTGCTACGTTTAGGGGATGAATTAAATAGATTACTACTTTAGATTTAAATATAAAAAGAAAAGATAGACAGACTACACTGCATCCAGTGGCACGAAAAGGTTAAATGTTTAATTACTGGAGTGACCAGTAAACTGATGATGTAATGTTGCAGTTAAGCTCTGGTGATGTATGTAATCAACAAATGTTTACTTTTCAACAGTTTTTTTCTCAAACAAAACAGGAGCTTTTGCTCTTCAATTAAGCTTATCGTAGGTTATTCCAAAAGTCTTTGTTCTTCTTGTAATTAATGTTTTATTCTGGTTTTGGTAGCTTAACTGTATCGGTGACAATAAAACTGGTAGTAACAGAGCATTTGTTCTTGATTTCAGGAGTGGGGATTGTCTTGATTGATATTAAATGTGCAGAAAAGTATGCAAGACAAACTTTAGCAAAGGAAAAGTTTGGAGCAGTATTTCTTCCCATAGTGAGTCAGTTGGGCTTTGGCTTAGGCCCACTTCAATGACAGCAACACAAGCCATCCCATGCGATTGATTATATCTACATTTGAACAGCATCAACAAGTTGAAATGCAGAAGAACTTAAAAGAACTGTAAAGAAGAATATGGTTCTGTTGAAGAATGTAATCAATCAGTCTTACTTTGTTTTGTCAGGCTTTTGAGGACAAAATAATAATAATAAACTTTATTTTATATAAGGTGGCTTCTTAAAGCACTTTACAGAATGACAACAACAATAAATAAAAAACATACACAAAATAAAACACAATTACAATACACAGAGGAGACTGTGGATGGTGGTACTAAGTAAAGTAGGAGCAGAGGGGTAAAGAATGGAACCAGTTAAGTAAAGGCTCTTTTAAAGAAGAGGGTTTTGAGTCTGGATTTGAAGGAGTTTAGAGAAGGTGACTCTCTAAATATTGATATCCTTGATATCCTTGGGGAGAGAGTTCCAGAACTTGGGGGCATAACAGGAGAAGGCCCTGTCACCTATAGAATGTAGACGGGCTTGGGGGACAGTTAGGAGACCAGAATTAGAAGAGTAAGGTTGGGGAGGTGGGTAGTAGTGTGATAATAGTTCAGACAGGTACTGAGGAGCCAAGCCATGCAGAGCCTCTACAATACAATTCCAGCTATTCGGGAGACTGACCAGACTTGGCACTAAACATATTTTTCCTGTGTTATTATTTCTCATATCTTCACCTTCAAATCCTTGATTACAAATTATTAACAGACTGGTTATTAACAGGAACAGTGATTCAAAATTTTAAGCTCTGTTGGACTTATGCTAGTAGTAACATTGCAGCTTTGACACAGAACCAAATGAATATGACTTCTGAGTACAGTGAAAAGACAAAACAGAAGTATCGGGACCTTCATTGAGACTCAAACTTACCTTTCACACTCCAGTATTGCTAGAACAATGACGAAACAAAACACCTTAATTCACCATCATCATCACATCACTTTCGATAGCCTCGTATCCAGTTCAAGGTCATGTTGGACCAGAGCCTATCACTGGAAGCACTGGGTGAAATGCCGCATACATCCTGTACAGGCTGTGATTCAATTGCAGGACACACGCAGAAAAAACAAGCACACACTCATACAAGGGCCAATTTCACAGAAGCTAATGCACCTTCCAGCATGTCTTTGGACTGTGAGAGGTAACCCACATGAACACAGGGAGAATATACCAACCCCATACAGCACCTCTGGAATTGAGCTCTGCACCCCAGTTCTGTAAGTCAGCAATGAAAACCAAACCACTGTACCATTGTGCTACCCCAACCAATCTATACTTCAATATTCCTTCAGCAACTTATGACTTGTATTGCTATTATGATAATCCTGTCCTGAAACTTAAATCTCTATCTCAAGTCTGATGAGTCAGCACTTGTCCCAGGGGCTGTTTAATCTTGGAGTACTAAACTGCATTCTGTCATTATTCACCACTTTCCATACATTGCAAAAGTCACCCTCCGCAGTTCGAGACAAGAAGAAAAACATTTTTTTTCTAACATCCACCCATTTCCAGTAACCACTTTATCCTCAGTGGATAGTACCACCTTTGTAGCATATTATACATAAAAAGAGTAATTCCGTTTTGTGTAATGATCAAATCTGATCATGAATTCACTGCTCCTAATTTCAAGTTTGGACCCCATTGTATTGATCTTGAGGTCAGTGCAGTGTGCATGTGACAGAGGGGATGTCACCCCCCTTAAAACAGAGATAATGTAGAACTTTTCAGAGGCAGAGGACCTGGTCTTTCCTACTGTACAATACATCTCAATTCCTTTAGACCAAACAATGTCTAGGGAATAGAGGTGTGTGGCCCTTGGCTCTCAAACAGTCGGGATTGAATCCCAACAGGGGCAAAGGAGAGCTACAGTACATGTGCTACACATGCAGAGACCTGGACAGTGCAAGGTGAGCTACTTTATGTAAACATACTTCAGGGGTTTTGAATAGGTGGTGGGAGATTCCAGCTCCTGCCAAATACTACCCCTTGTGTCATGTCATGTCATTTGCCAAACTGCTTTATACCATACGGTGTTGCGGAAAGCCGGAGCCTACCCGGCAAGCAACGAGCCCAAGGCAGGGTACACCCTATACAGGGCACCAGTCCATCGCAGGGCAAGTGCAAGCCAATCATATATGGGGACAATTTGGAGGCCACAGTAAAGGCCAAGGGGGGGAAATTTGGCCCAGACACTGGGATAACTCCCTATTCTTATTGAGAAATGCCCGTGGATCTTTAATGACCACTGAGAGTCAGGACCTTCGTTTAACGTCTCATCAGAAAGACACCCCCTTGCGTCATCTTCAATCAACATTAAAGTATCACAGTAGTATGGCAATGGCAACAGATAATTGACAATATTGTTGACTAGGCTGATACAGTATATTCCTTATGCATCCCGCTGATATGTGTGGTTGCCTGGGCTGCCTGGCAGGGACAATTGGGTCTAGGGTAGGACTAATGACGTTTCAGGCTAAGTTGATCTGGCCAGAGAGCCACAGAGACACAGAGGGTTGGCAGGGAACTTCTTTATATACACGGTACTTCTGAAGCCATAGAACTACTCTATGGAAGTTTCTTCTTGGAGGCTAGAATTTTAACATCTGGTTCTTGTCACAAATCACCCTTGCATCGTCTTTCTTTGCCCCTTCAAAATATGTAAGGCCTGTTATGGGAGAACTGAATCTTTTAGCCGAACATTGTTTCTCTTCACCTGTGATGAAGCACCTGCTGTGCCAGAGGTAATTTTTGTAACCCTGCTTTACAAACTGTGTCTTGATCTTTAGAGCACTGGCATTAATTTGACAATAATTGCTTAAGAGCCCCCTGAAGCTGTTACTTTCAACACTAGAACGTGTGAAATTTCTTAAGCATGAACAGAAACTCTAAATGCTTACACATCCTATTAAAAATATATACTGTTGCTTATTAATAACAAACTTTTAAAAAATACTGACATTTAAGGGAAACATTACCAATCCTTCTGTACTGTATATCACTCCTAAGAGGCTTTTTGTTCCATTAACCGTGAAAGAATTACATAATACCCTGGCACATGAACTCGTTGGGACATACCGTTACAGTGCAGCACATTCAGGAACCCTAGTACTAATTTTCAGATCCTAGCCGGGTGACAGGTCAATGTTTGCAGCGTGCGCCGAGGTCTGTTTCTTCGGGGTCGCTGTTTTTTGATGTTCAGAGTGAGAGGCGTGTGGCGGTAGCAGCCGGAGCCACACTTGGTGTTGCTGCTGCTGCTGCAGTCCATGCCTGTGCTGTGAGTGAAGCAGAAGGAGCGGGAGTTGGGCTGTTGAAGTAAAAATGGAGAATTATTACCGCTTTTCATGTTCCTACCGGGAAAACTAATGAAAGTAACCAGCCAAGCCTCGGCGATCTGGGAGTAATCTTAACAGTAAACACCGTGATGAAATAAAGAGGAAATAACCTTGTCGCTCGTTTGCTTCTACGGTTTTTCGCCTTATCTGATGCTGGTACTACTAGTACCTGAGAGATTTTTCTGGTAAGTACATAGCGAACGTATTTGTATCAGTCCTACACTACAGCAACTGTGCTTGAAGAGGCTAGTTACAAAGAGGAACGATGGTTTCCATGTATTTGTATTTAAACATCGGAAATCCGCCTTCATATTCTGTGAGAAGATAGAACAGCTATATAGATGCATGCACTGGGCAATACTGGAAGCCATTCATTTTGGGCAAAAAAAAAGGTGAATAGGGAGTTAATTTCTTTGCAATATGGCCGCTCTTTCCGTCTTATGTTGGCTTTTGAAGTGAATTTATAGAAGTCGTATCGAGCTATTTTACCATTTCTGTTAGGGGCTGTTTGTGTTTTTATAATCCGTTTTGTAAAATAAAGCGTAGGTTGACTCCGTTGAAAACGCAACGCAGCTTAAAATGCTGAGTGCTCTGCATGTTGATTCATTAAGCTCGTACTCCGCTGTCAAAGAATGCTACCGAGTGCTGCTAAATATGCTTTGCCACTGTCTGCATTAAAAAAGTGATAAAGAAAACAGACTGTAATGTTATGAAAACATACGTTTCTGGGCAAATAGCCTTTAAAACTGATTTGCGGAAGAAGTAATTTATCAGGAAATGAAACAATGTATTCGTGCGTTGCTTAAAGAGTGTTTCAACTTAGTTCCTCTCCCATTTTCGACTGGAATATTCCTGCGAGTGACTTAAAAGTTCACTATTCTTCAGCTACAACGTCTTTCAAATAGTTACGAATTTATGCTTTTCAGTACAATCCGTTACAACGCGTTGTTCGTGTGTGGCGTATACCTTGTGTTTTCACAAGGACCATAAAACGTAGTTTTCGGTGTCCTGTAAACTAACAACGCGAACAGCATTACTGTAGTGTTGTCCATGCATTACCAGCGCATTGAACTGATGCATTGGAAATTTTACGTTTTAGTCAGTTGCAGCATTTTTAGTTATTAAGGTCTTTTGAAGTTGCTAGTGTTTCATTTTAATTCCGTACGATCGATTTAAAATAACGTGATCCAAAGGAGCCGTCTTAACGTTCTTTCAAAAGTTTAATCTTTTAACCCGCCTGTCCCATTTTAGTCAGAAGTGTAGTGACATTTTCCCCGTTCTTGGAGGATTTGTATTGTGTCCACAGGGAAAGAGTTTAAATGTATTTTTCTTTTTTTTTTCTTTCACCATGGCAGGAAGAAAGCTGCAGTTATATGGAGTCCTTTACTCCACATAGCTAAGAGATTGGTCTGACTGTAAACAATCTCCTGTGATACAACAGAGAAATAGCGGTGTTTGATTACATGAAAGCGCATTTGTGTACCTTTGAAAAATACCTGTAGAGGCATTTGTATTGTCTGAATTCATAATTGAACTTATATATGAGAGTGCGTAGAAGGTTTGGGGAGATATCGAAAGTGGGGATTTAAAAGTTTACAACTGTTGTTTGTTTTGCTGGTCTTAATTCTAAAACTTTGGGATATACAGTAGATGAAAGACTGGAAGTCCACCCGGGCTAGTTGTAGAAATAGACCGGTCAAGTTAAGTAACTGCAACTCAGTTCAGACGAAATTGTACTTGCTCCAGCAAAGTCGCACTAACTTTCCTTTTTGTATCTCTAGAAATAAAAGTAATTATTTCAGCCTCTTCAGCCCTTTGTTCCAACAGACCTTTTAATTAATTCCTTTATTGGACACATCACTTTAATTAAACTTCATTTGTAGTCAATTTAAAAGTAAGGAATTTGAATTTATCCATAAACTTTAATCAGTAATCTGACTAACTGCTGGAGAGCTGAAACTACTTTTTTAAAGACTAATTAAGCAAATAATGAGCTTAGTTATTAATTAAAGCTAATTTGTATAACAAACCAGTAGATCCAGTGCTCCCCAAGAGAATGTTTTGGCAAAACTTTGACTTTTGGGCATTAATGAGCCCAGTTTCATGGAAGAATCAGTGCAAGACTGCACATTATTGTAATTTTCCTGTTGACAGAGTGTCAAGAGTAACATATACTGTACAAAAGGCTTTTAAAAATTGTACTCTTTGTCAGGATTTTGTTTGACTTTTGTTTTTGACTTTTAAATTATTCTTCTACGGCAAATATTGGGATGTTTCCATCACTCAGAATGTGAGATTGTCACTTAGTGACTCTTTGCCATTATGTACAGTCATATGATAATTGTAGAGGGTGGGGCAATGTATCTGTAAGCAGGTTTTCTTGTAGTGCTTTTTTAATGTCAGTAATATGAAGGTTAGGAAGACTTGTTGATTGCAATATGTTTGTTACCTCCATGTCAGTTTTTCTTTTTTTGTAAAGAAAAGCCTTACTTTTTTACATTACAGTAAATAGTCCACTCTCACTGATCTCATGGGGAATATACAGTATGCTGCAAAACATATTTGTCCTCAAGTGATTATGTGTAAGCTTATACTTCTCTGAAGAGCCACAATGAAGTTTCAGTTAGTAAAGTCTTCGGAATTTGCTTTGTGTGCAGCTTAATTTATGTGAAATTGTTCATATAATGTATTGTGTTCATAACACAAAACAGATGAAGAAGCCAGACCCAGTCTTAGTTTAGGATTCTATGCTTTATGGTGACACAAATAGGTAAGCTTTAATCCACTGAAAGTTGTATAAGTGATTAATTTATTTTCTAATTGATAAACTTAAGTGTCTTATACAAGTATGTGTTGATGTGTGTCTATCTACATTTATTGATCAAGGAATGTGATGGTTTTGAACTTTTTAATCCGTAACCATCTTTTTTTTTTCGAAAACACTTTCCGATCACAGTTAAACCTAACATCTAACACATACCGATACAAAATTGTGCCAAAAATAGTTTGAGCTAAAAGATCTACAAAGAGTTGGATTGAAAATGCAAATGCTACAAAAGTGTTTGTCATGGTGAAATGCTTTTCTGGAGATGAAAGAGCTCTCCTAATGGCTCCCCATGCCTGCAACAAATTGAGAAGCAGACGGCCTCTACTGCTGTTCACACTATGAGAATGAGCAAGATTGAGAAGTGGCCCCTGTACAATAAATTAATAAACTTTTCCACTTCAAAAATTAGGTTTAGTCTTTGGTATGAATAAAAGTAAATGTGACTGCTGTACTTATATTTTTTTGCAGGGCCCCTAAAACCAATGCATTCACTATACATAACCAAACGTATCCCCTCCATACCAAAGTGAGAAAACCTGATGGAAAAGTCTGATAGAGCAGCAGGGAAAAATGGTGAACACACAGATACATCTGCTTCAGCAGCTTAAGTGCAATGACATGGAAGTTCTGTGATGAAACCGGGCAATTCTAATGTTTTATAAAGCTTTTTACAATAGTCATGAAGACTGGTTTCATGACATTTCTGCCGGTGACAGACTCAGAAGACACATACTAGAGAGGTAAAGATTTTTTGAAAATTTTGGTCAGTATAAAAAATTACAGGACGTTAAAATCTTCGAAAGTACAAAAAATGGCCAGAACAGACCTTTTATTACCATGTTCCAGTCTCAACTTACTTGCCACGGCATTGCCTATGCTTCCACTACTGGCTGTGGGTAGTTAAAAGATTGCTCATCACCGTTTCTCATTTAAATGAATTTCCATTCTAAGAAGTGTTGTAGGAAAAATAGAGGCTGTGTAATCTCATGAGGATAAAGACACAGAAGTATAGATTAATATCCTCTCTTATGGGACAAAATGAGAATTGAATCCCCAAGTGACACTTCTGGTCCCCACACAGAATTAATTATCACCTTAGGCCAAAGGTTTTTCTTTCTGAGTCTGTGTGTGGGGAGAGGTGAAACTGAGTGTTTGCTGTCAGTTCTGAGATGTTACACGTCATCTCAAGGTTTGAACTGTCTTATCTATGAGGAATTTTCAACTGTTCCTCTAGATTTAATCATACTTAAGTACAGTAATTGTCAACATGTCCTATTCAGCCCAGTATGTTATTTTGATGATAAATGTATTTATTGTATAATTATTGTATGACTACAGCAGTTCATTTTACCCTATGTGATGATTTGTTCTAAAATGTTACAGTAGACACTGTTTCTTTAAAAAAAAGTCTCAATATTTCCAAAATTGACTCAGAATTTAATATGTAAATGAAGAAGTAACAACTCAATTATCCATTACAATTCAAGGACCCATAGATTAATTTTTATGGTTTTTAACTGTGGAAACATTTTTATAGAATGCCGTGCTTTGTGTTATGCTTTCTTAGCAAAGAAATACTCCTTAAATCATAAGCGTAATAGCAATTTTATATGAGGTAAGCTCAATCATGTTAATGTGACAGAATTAGTTTCTCTACATTTTTTAAGTCTTTTATATTGTTGGCTCAACAGGGTTGAGCTACTTTTAAGAAAACGTCTCACATCCCTGTCTTTGAATGTGGCCCATGGGCAGTGCTTTGTATTTGTGTTTTATTTAGTTAATTTATGGTTTTGTTTAATCCAGTATGTGAGTAATCTTTATAATGTTCTGCACCGATACCAACATAATGAGCATGTTAACTGAGGCTTAGCTTTAAAAGGAATCTGAAGTGAGCTTTTTCAGCTCAAAGTTCTACATCATCGGAGAATAAATCTGTAAAAACCCACTGTATGTAAAAAGAACACAAAAACTCTGTTTGTCTTATCCCGATTTAGTTACACCAAACCCAGTTATGATTTGTTATTGTTCCCTTCTGTCTCTGTGTCAGGCATGAGGTTTTGTGCACTGGATGAAGATGCAAGCGGATGGTGATTTGGCTTGCAGGGCTGTGTCTTAGGGTCAGGAGTTCTGAGATGAGAATTATGAGGCTATGCCATTCCAGGTGGAAAGGATCTGAGTGGCAGTAGTAAACAGTGGTCTCTTGTCACCATACTGTAGCTCAGTCACATTCCCTTCTGATATATTCCAATGTGCTGTGCTGATTTCTTGCATAAGCTCTTGCCGTTACAGAGGCCTTCACCAGAATGGAATCCAGTGTACTGCATATGGAGTAATTTACTGGTGGTTTCTTTGATTGTT